TAAGATTGTCCCTTTGTCATCTGTTTCATGGTGCCACCAGAGAAAATGTTGCACTTAAGTGACTTACTTGCAGGATAGTGCCAGTGTGCTTTATAAAGGAATCAAGGAGAGGAACGAAGTCAGGAAATTCAAAACGTGACACTGGAAAACATGAAGTTGATAATGAAGTTAGAGCCACATCTCTGGTCACGTGTGTCTGTCAAATCCACAATCCTCGAATGTGGGCTGGTCACCAGCCACTGGCCAAGGCAGGGCCAGACCCACTGATCTGTGGACGGTCCTTTCTGAAGCTGTACCTGGCGAGCAAGGGCACGTCGCTGCTGTCCTGGGAGAGGAAAGGGAGGAACCAGATGTTTCCCGAGGGCTGTCTGCAGTGCTTCCCTCCGTCCTCGCTGCACTCACAAGACAACCTGTTGTGTCACGTCATTCATTTACAGCCTCGAAAAGCTCTTCAGTGGCTCCCACTGTCTGTGCTCAGGCTAAAGTCCAAGCCTCGAGACAAGCTTACGAGAGTCTCGCCATCTGCTCCTGCTGTCCCGGGCCCGCGGCCCCTCCCTGACAACCTCCTTCTCTCCCCCCTACCCCCATTCACCTGACCGATTCCATCTCAAAGATCATACCCCAGCAGCCCTGCCCGACGCCCCCTCGGCCAGGAGCGTGTCAGGTGCCCCTTCCGGGGAAGGCTGTGGCGTCTCAAGTTGTTGCGTCTGTCGCGGCGTCTGTCGCGGTTCCCTGAGTCCCGATTGCCCCTGGGGGTGTCCTGAGCTGTGCGCCGGGCTTGGCTCGTGTCCTCGGCATCCAGCAGACAGCGGGCGCCCGGCCAAAACCTGGGGAAGGGGTCGTGTCCGCCTCTCGAGTCGAGGGGATACTTTCCTCTGTACAGATAAGGAAACGCAGGCTCGGGTGTTAGAGAAAACCATTCTCCTGCCCCCGGGCCTGCCTGAGCAGGCAGGACCCTTCCATTTTGGCCGAGCGGGTGGTCTCGGGGCTCCGGCCTGTCGGCTCCTCTGTCTCCTTATTCAATGCAGGCGGGAGCGCAGACCTGGCACCTTGGGCGGGGGGAGGTGCTGGGGCAGCCCCGCCCGCCTCTCTCAGCAGTCAGGGGCCTCGATGCCTGGAATGACCCTGCCAGGCGGGCGCTCATCCCTCGTGGGCAGTGAGGGGATCGTGCGGTTGTTGCACGAGGGGTGTGGGGGGCGTGCGGGGGGGCTTCCAGCCACGGGGAGGGCGCAGGTGCTCAGAGAGTCTGTGCAGCTTCCGTCACAGGCGGCAAGGGACCGGGGTGGTGGCCACGGCTGCAGGGCGAGCTCCGGGGTGGAGCGCGGTGCATTTTCACCTTGTTCCGTTGAGTTCTCCGCTCAGAGCGCTCAGAGCACAGCAGTGATCAGACCTTCCCGCGCCCGTGGGTCTCCTGGGCGCCCCCTCACACTGCGGGTTCTGACCCGTGGGCTGCTCAGGAGTGAACCCAGACCTCTGTGCTGCTCCGTGCCCACAACGCAACCTGCCAGCGCCTGGCGGTTTTCCACGTCCAGCCCTCCCTCCCCTGGTCCTCCCGGCCGGCGCCCCCCCCTCTGCCATCGGCCGCCCACAGGAGATGCTCCTCACTCTCGCCTCCCTCTGGGCTCCCCTCTGCCCAGATGGAAGCGCAGAGGGTGATGCCCCGCTGGGTCCTGCAGGGCCAGGTTCCTGCCCCCACCCCTGCCTGCCCCGCCCCCCTTAACCCTCCACCCTCCACCCCACAGGCCCAGGCCGGGACTTCACTCCAAGTCTTATGGGAGCCCGGCCGGGAGAGGACGGGACTCACAGTGGCGTCACCCACCCGATGGTCCCGCTGCATCGTGGCGGTGTGGAAATTCAAAGTGAGATAGAGGTAAATAGCCCACGTGTCCTCCAAAGATGGTGACGATGTAAAAATTGTAAGATGAATGGGGAAGGCTCGAGCGTCCTTACGTCTGGGGTGGAAATGTTGGTGTGGATGTCCATTTTGTGGGGCCTGTGTGCAATTCCATTTCAACATTGCTCAAATGGGTTGAGAGTAGAACATCTGTTGCCATTGCTACTTTGGAAGTCATCCTGTCACAAACAATAAAGGTCACGGCCAGACATGGCAACAGCCGTCTGCTCTGTGTCAGTGGCTTCCTTTCATTGACAGTGGACAACATTCATTTAACAGGTACCTTTTTGTTTTTTAATTTTTTTTAAGGATTGATTTATTATGCACACAAGAGCCGGGGTACAGGCCAGAGGTGGGAGGGGGGGTGAGAGGATTCACCAGAGACAGAGTGGGGAGCAGAAGAGGCAGATTGGTGATTGAACTCGTGCTGCAGAGGCTGCGGACAGCTTCACAGTGCTGTGCTTAACCCCTTGCACCACCAGGGAGGCCCTAAAGGGTACCTTTTTAGCCAATAAAAACAATCTGGGCCTCCCTCGTGGCACAGGGGGGTTAAGACACAGCCTATGGGGTTGTCTGCAGCCATTGCAGCACGCGTTTGATCCTTGGCCAGGGAGCTGCCCACACGGTGCAGTAGACCTCTCCTGACTTGCCTGCTGCTGCCTCCAGCAGCGGATTTCTTCAGTCTGCCTATTCTGCTCCCCACTCTGTCTCTGGTGACTCCTCTTACCCTTCCATACTCTGGTCTGTGCCCCAGTTCTTGTATGCATAAATAAATCAATCTTAAAACAAAACAAAAATAAAATCCCCTTTTCAAAAAAGGGGATTTAAATGTTGGCATTCTTTGGTTCCTTGAACGCCTCTTGCTATTCCCAGTGTTTTTTTTTTTCTTCTTTCTTCCTTTTCCTTGAGCCTTAGCACCTTTTTCATGTATGATGTTTCTGACCCTGTACGGTTTGCAGGCGGGCAGGCAGAGAGGCCCTGGCTGGGGGCAGCACAGGGTCAGGCTGGCAGCTGCTGCTGGCGCAGGGGGAAGCTGGGGATCAGGAGCCCCTGCACCATCCCGGGGGCAGGAGGTCGCTGCCCTGAGCTCGGTCTCGCCATCGTGATCCCCATGGCAGCGCCATCTCTCCTGCAGTTCAGGTCGTGCTCAGCTTCCCCGTGAGAACTGGGGACGATTTTAGGTCATGACATGGGCCTCCCAGGGGGTGCAGATGGAGATCCCCAGCTCTGGCCAGCCCCTGCAGGACGAGTTTCTCCCCCACTCGTGGGCCAGGAGCAGCCCATAGACCTCCCTGTCTCCCCGCTGCCCCCCTCAGCTGTGGATTTCAGTCCATCCACCTGTTCTGCTCCCCAGTCTGTCTCTGGTGACTCCTCTCACCCCCTGCACCTCTGTCCTAGACCCCAGTTCTTGTTTGCATAAAAATAAATACATCTTTTTAAAATAGATAATTTTAAGAATTAGCTTACTGCCTCATAATTTCCAATATTTTGAACTGTGAACTATAACACCCGTGTGTAAGGGCAGAGACTATACACGTCGAAATTTAGAATTACAAAATGAACTCCCATTAACTGGGGGAAGAATCCTAAGACCACACTATATCATAATCTTCCCCCCAAGTAAGCAGGAATATGTGGCTGTCGTCATAGTTATTTCCCTTGCCCTTCATGACAGTTCATCACCTAAGTGTGTGTCACTCAGTGCATACCTAACACGCGATTTCCATTTTGTCTGGTATTTAAAATTTAAATCAATCCTATTATGTTCACTTTATATCTAGAATAACGAATGCTATGCCTACAGTTTTATATCTTTCCTCCTTCATTTAACATAACACAAGAGTTTTCCAAGTCATGTCAAACTATTCAGAACGACTGTGCCTCATTGCTACATTTGTCTCGTGTACGTAGTGCTACATATTTCACTCTTTCCTGGAGTTTTGACTTAGGCTGTTTCCAGTATTTGTAAGTATGAGAAAATGCTGGTTAGCATGTTTACAAATAAAGATGTGTGTGTGTGTGTGTGTGTGTGTGTGCGTGTGTGTGTGAAAGCGTCTCCTTAGGTCATGTCTCAAAACCCGAATTACTATTTCTTTTAACACAGACGCACACATCAATATAACACCCCAAACGCTGGCGGAAGGGCCACCCCACCTTGTTCTCTTCCCCGAATGCGCGAGAACCCCTGTTTCAGCGGGTTCTTGCCTCCACGTCATTCTGTCTCCCCATCTTCGGGGCTCTGACGTCACACACTCCCGCTTCCTGCGGCCCCCCCCCCGCACGGCCTCCGCCCGCCCGTGTCCCGCCTCGGCCGCACCGCCCCTCCGCGCCACCAGGCGGCGCGCGCCGCAGCTCCGTCCCTGGTTTGCCCCTGAGCCTCTCCTTCCTCGGTCTTGCCCCGCCCCCTGCGTGTTGTCACGTCACTGCGCGCTGACGCGAGAGCGCCTGCGGGAGCGGAAGTGGCGGAGACGAGGAAGCCGGGAGCGCCCGCCCCGGCGGAGCGGACCCACAGGCCGAGGAAGGAGATGCCCCGGGGGCAAAGCACAGGCGGGTGGGGCGCGCGCCGCCTGGTGGTGAGGCGGGGAAATGCGGCCTCGCGGGGAATCATGAGGAGGCGCCGGGGCGGGCGAGGCATGGGCGGCGAGGCCGGGGCGTGCCGCCCCATCTCTCATTATTGGGGAGCAGTGGGTTTGGGGGGGCTTTCTGTGGCCGGGATCACTGGTCCCCAGCGTGTGTTTAATGCACGTGGACACGATCTGCTGTTTCAATGGCGGCGGAAATTTTTGGTTCGTAGTATTTTCAGAGATGTGGGCTCTTCGCCTCCGTTTCCGTGTGATTTTCTAAACTTCAGCCGCAGCAGGACGAGCGGGGGCGCCCCCGTGAGCGCCCGGGGCTTTCCCGCCTGCCCCCGGGCCCTGGAGCGCCCCCGCTACACCCGCACCTGCAGCCCCGCCCCTGCAGCCCCGCCCCTGCAAATGCAGCCCTTCCCCACCCCAACACTGGCTCCTGCCTCCCCAGTGAACGGGCTCGCCTTGGCACTTGCTTCTCCGGACTTGGGGTGAAGTCCTCGCCTGCGGGAACCCGGTTTCTTCAGGAACCACCCAGAGCGAGGGAAGGTGAGGACGTCTCCCTGCCGGTGGCTGCCTGCAGAGCGGTGAGTCAGGGGACCCGGGGCTGGGCGGGCTGGCTGTGGAGAGCTCTGCGCGGGTCATTTTGGGTCCTGGAGGGACATGGGGGTCAGGACATTCCTGAGTGTGACCCTGTGGGTGCCTGGCGCCCCTGAATGAAAGCGCATCCCCCGTGTTTGCTCCCCGCTCCTCCCTGCTACACTGACCAACCCCCGGATGGGATTTCTGGGCTCTGTTCTGTTCCATTGATCTGTGTGTTTTATTTCTGTGGACTTAGACTATAATTTGGGGAATGTATTGTAAACTTTTCTGGGGCTGACATCCTTCTCCCCACACCAGGTCTAGCAGCAGGAGGGCAGAGTCGAGTCCTAGTCTCCCGGGGTGCTGGTTCTGACCTAGTGGGTTGTGTGGTGCCTGGGACTCTGCACTTCTCATGGGGTCTGAGATGCTGCCCGTGCTGGGCCTGGGCCCACGTCTGGGGGCCGAGGCGTCACTCCCTGTTGTGCAGGTGATGTGGCCATTCAGAGCCTTGAAGGGGGTTGACCCTGGAAACTGCCTCATGAGGCGACTTTACAATAACCCTTGAATAGAACCCAGGCTTTCCTGAACCTTGAGTGACTAGGAGCCACATGGCCTGCCATACTCTGGCTACAAGTCTTTGGTTTTCTAAAACGGGTTGTTATTAACAGATTCAGTGTATTGAAAGCAGTGGCCCTCTCTGCATCACTGAAGGACCAACCTGAGAAACGCCACAGCAGTGACAGCTGGGCGCCGTCACCCATCGGGGTGGAAAGTTTCTTCATGGGGAGCATATAAGACGCTGAAGGGCCCTTTTCTAAGCTCTTGAGATCTTTTCTCTATAGATGGTGCTAAGAGGATTCCTCCTATTTTTGGGGATTGTGTAAACCACAGTGATTCATGTGGGAACTGGACATTTTGGAGATAATCCACTTTACCTTTTTTTTTTTATTTTTAAAGCTTTTGTTTATTTTTTCATAGAAGAAATGGGGTGCAGGCCAGAGGTGTGGGAGGGTGAGAGGATTCACCAGAGACAGAGTAGGGAGTAGAACAGGTGGATCTACCGAGCTACACTGCTAAGGGGAGCATCAGGTGAGACAGGAGAGGTCTGCTGCACCGTGTGGGTAGCTCCCTGGCCAGGCTTGAACTCAGACCATTGTGGTAACAGCACTGAGATTTAACCCCTGGGCCACTGGGCGGAGGGAGGCTGCACTTTACCTTTTAATGTGTTAAACTGATGTTACCTCCTTCCTTGCCAATCCCTCTGTTATGCTCGCTTTGGAGAGAAGTTGAATTTCTCTGGAAAGGAGAAAGGAATCGGCATTTATTGAGCACCTGCTGGAGCAACAAGTTCATCGCTTTAGGTACGTGATCTCCATTAATGATGCTATAGAGATATTATTCCTACCCTGTAGTCGTGGACCTGAGGTCCAAAAGGGATCAGTGACTTCTCTGAGAGCAAAAAATAAGCACAAGTGCTGCGGACCAGCACAGCAGTAGACGATGAGGCCATCTCAGGGTTGAGAAAAGCGTGCAGGGTGGTCAGGGCGTCGGTGAAAGAAATGACAAACAGACACACTTCAAGAGTGAAAATCTGAGTGTAATTTTCTTTAAGTTTGTGACCAGTATATATATGTTTTCCAAAAGCACAGGAATGAATATCCAAGAAATTAGCTTGCTCTTGGGCTCAGTCTATCACCATCAGGGAGGTGATCTACATAACAAACAATGACCATTATAGAAGAAAGAAGGAAGTTTAGAAAGACAGATAAGGGATTAAAGTTTGTCTTGTAGTGGTTCCTGGTGGTCGTTATCTATTGATAAGCTTCTGCCTTTTCAGGGAACTTCCGCTGCTCTTCCTCTGCTTCAGGGTGTTATGCTGTTCTCCCCCTGCGTGCTGGTTGCCCAGCTGGACCTAGGGAATGTTAACCCTAAAGGTTACTGCAGGGGGAGGTGCAGCACACAAGGGCCAGATCTGTTTGGACTCCCAAATCTTTGTGTTTTGTACTGAACCAGAGGTTTTAAAATGAGGGTAAATTGTAACCTTCTTGGAGGCCAGGAGGAGGGAAGGCGTGCGGGTGCCCCCACCCATCCTCAGAACAGGTCCTTGGGTGCTGGGCGTCCTCCTCCATAAGGAAGGAGTTTCGGCCTAAAACAAGACAGAACAAAACTTTCATGTTTCAATGCACCACGTGAAGATGCTGTCATTAATATTGAACATGAATGACTTAATAGTTTAGAATGGCTCTAACCCCAAGCATGATTGCTACTCGTAAGGGGCTGCAGTTAAAAATAGCCTTTTTCTAACGATTCCCACACAGCAGGCTTAATTGCTGCACCTATCAGAGAAAATTCTTGGAGATCTAGAACAATTGGTGAGGAGGGGATGCCTCGGTAGTGCCTGCAACATTGTTCAGGATGAGACCCCTTTAGGAGCATTTATTTATTTATATTGTCTTAGGGTCTTCCCTTTCCTTAAAGACCATCTCTTTTTTTCTTCTTTTTTTTTTAAAGATTTATTTATTTATTTGTACAAGAACTGGGGTAGAGGCAGGATGTGCGGGAGGGTGAGAGGAGTCACCAGAGACAGAGTGGGGAGCAGAGCAGGCAGATTGACTGAAATACACTGCTGAAGGGAGCGGCGGGGGAGACAGGAGAGGTCTGCCACGCCATGTGGGCATCTCTGTGGCCGGCGGGGATTGCACCGGCACTGCAGAGGCTGCAGACAGCTTCACAGTGCTGCACTCAGCCGCCTGGGCCACCAGGGAGGCCCTTTTCTTCTTTTCTTACATAGTTGTTCATTTTTGTCTAGTTATTGGTTTCTCCCTTCAGGGGTGGTCCTCATAGTTCTCCCACCACCATAGCACCCATGACCCATCACCTTATGCTCTTCCCTCCCCTCTATTCACCCTCTCCCTCCCACTCCCTGCTGAATGCCTAAGGTCTTGGTCAGCCTGCTAGGGTTGTCTTTTTCTTTACCTTTTGTTCTGTTTCTCTATATTTCACATGTAAGTGAAACCATCTGATATTTTTCTTTCTCCTGCCTTATTGTGGCTAGCATCATCCCTTCCAGCTCCACCCATATCACCACAAGCGGCATGAATTTGTCTTTTTTGATTGCAGAGTAATAGTCCGTGGCATAATTATACCACAACGTTTTGATCCATTCATCTGTTTCTTTTGTTTCCATGTCATGGCTACTATAAATAGTGCTGCAATAAACACAGGAGTTCAGGTTTCCTGGGTGTTTTTTTTTTTTTTTGGCTCTTAGGTAGATTCCTAGGAGTGGAACGCTGGATCATGTGTAGACCCATTTTCAGTGTTCTGTGGAACCTCCACACAACTGCCCATAGTGGCTGGACCAGTTTGCGCTCCCACTGGCGGCCTCAGAGGCTCCTTTTTCTGCTGCTTCTCCACCATTTGTTGTTTCCAGTTTTTCCTTTTTAGTGTGGAGCATTCTCACTGGAGTGAGGTGGTAGCTCATTGTGGTTTTGATTTGCATTTTCCTATATTAGTGATGGTGAACGTTTTTTTGATGCCCGTTGACCATTTGCATTTCTTCTTTGGAGAAGTGTCTTTTTACCTCTGCCCATTTTTTGGACTGGGTTGTTTGTTTTTGTTGAGTCGTGTAAGCTCTTTGTAGATCTTTGACATCAGTCCCTCAACTGTCATGTTGTGTGCTGATATTTTCCCCCATATGGCAGGTGTCTCTGTGTTGACTATCTCTTGCAGTAGCCCCAGCTGTCCACATTCTCTCTGGAGAAGAAACCTTGCTTCTGGAGAAGAAACCTCAAAGTCGTTTCTGAGGATCGTGTCATTAAGTATTGGCCTGTGTTCCCTTCTGTGCATTCTATGGTGCCAGGTTTCACATGCAAGTCTTTCATCCACTTGAGTTGGTTTGTGTATGATGTGAGGTAGTGTTCTAGCTGCATTCTTTTGCATGTTGCAGTCCAGTTTCCCCAGCACCTTTTATGGAAGAGGCTATTCTTGTTCCAATGTATATTCTTTGCTCCTGGGTCATAGGTTAGTTCACCATTGGTCTCTGTGTCTGTTTTTGTTCCAATACTGTTTTCATTATAATAGCTTTGTAGTAATCTTTGATGTCTGGGAGTGCAATACCTTGTGAGTCTGCTGCTCGTAAGCGGACTGTTTGGCCACCATTTTGTCACCTATGGTTCTAAGCAAGGTCAAGATGGCCAGGTCAGTTAGGTGCAGAGCCCAACCCTTCAAGGTGCCCTTTCAGGTCAAACAAGAGCACAAAGCTGGATCACGAGGTGTGACTGGGAACGTGGGGGGGGGAGGGGTGCTGAGGACCGATGCATAACAAAGGACCCCAGATCAGTGGAAGCCTTGTTGCTAAGATTAGAACCATGGCTGGGGATTAGGGTGTGACCTCAATGACAATACCGAGTCATCAAGCAGATGAGAAGTGCCTGGAGGGCAGACTCACAATCCCTGATCTTCTCCATTCTTCCCCTTTCTTTAATCTCCTATCCCTTAATCTCCTTCCCCTTTCCTTTTGCTCCTAGCCCTTACTTGACCGATGCTGTGAATCAATGAAAAGGCCAGGATTTTGTGCTTCAGCAGCATCCTGCATTAAGGAGCCTGCTCCACGACTCCTGTTTCTTTATCAGTGTGGTGTTGCCCGAAGCAAGGATACCTCCTTTCTCCCCCACCCTTTCAGTCAGAAGAACTTTTGCTACAAGAGGTTGTTGTGATCCCATCTGAATTTGAGCCCTATGGGTTCCATTTCATTGAAGAACACCATTGTGATTTGTATTGGAATTGCATTGAATCTGTAAATTGCATGCAAATAGGAAGTCCCATCTAGGTTTGTTACGTTTTTCCAATTATGGAACATTCATAAAACAGTGTTAATAAGAAATGTAGGTGTTATTTTCTGTAATTTCTAAAACAGACAGAGTAGGTCTGTTCTCTAGAGATGAGGAAAGAATGTTTCAGATGGAAAGGCAAAGGCATTTTATCATAGAATAGATGAGCAGTTATTGATCGTATAATAATATTAGGATATTCTTCCGCCTTCACGCTGATGGAACGCTAAGTAAGATCGGCCCTTTGTCATCTGCTTCATGGTGCTGTTAGGGGGAAAGGATGTCCTGAGATAATCTCATACAGGCTTTGTGGACTCCACCCCCACTCCAGACTAAAGCCATCAGGACATTGGGAAAGACAAATCCCATCACCACCAAGGGGAGGGTGGCTGGGACCTGAGGGTGGAGTTGGGCAGCCAGGTTGGATATAAAAACCAAACACGTGGGCCTTGCTCTCTCTCTGGCTCGCGATCGCTCGCCTCCTGGCTTCACCGCTCCTGGCTGGCGGCCAGCTTCAGAGAGCGCCATTTTGGGGATTCCTGATCGGGGATCGGGTAGGACTCATTTAAAACTTTGTCTCCACTTTTCTCCCAGAGCTGTACATTTCCTCATTTCCCTTTCCCTTGTAAATAAACCTTTTATTAACCTTTCACGTGTGCCTGCAGTAGAGCATTGATAAGTCCTTTTAAGCGCGCGGGTGAGGACCCACAGTCAGGCAAACCGTTTGTATCGGGGCTGCTCTACAACAGTGCCACTGTTACAGCCACTGTTTTGTTACAAAACAAAAATAAACTCCCCTTTTTAAAAATGGGATTTAAATGTTGGC